AGTAAGTAATAGTGAAGTACCTGCTATTACTATAATGATGGGTGCATCTTATGGAGCTGGTAATTATGCCATGTGTGGTAGAGCTTTTAAACCTAGGTAAGTCAAATATATAAGATGAAAGATAAAAGATACATAATAATTTATTTATATTTATTATTGTTGTTTTTATGGCTTTTAGATTTTTATTTTCGTGGCCAAATAGTAAATGTTCTGTTATGGGAGCTGAACAATTAATAGGAGTAATGGATTTGATTATGAGAGAAGCTGCTTCTAGGTTTTTTTTTGAATTTAATTGATTGATTGATTAAATATTTAAACATATCCATCTATTATTTATTATACTGATATTTAATCTTTGTTTAGGGTGGGAAAATCAATTAACGAAGAGGAAGCATCAGTACGTAACAAATTGCTTCAAAACATGGTAGAACAAGAATCAGATGTATATTATACCACATCAAGACTTTTAGATGATGGGGTTATTGATCCAAGGATGACCAGAGTTGTTATTGGGTTTTGTTTAAGCGTAATATATAATGTAAAAGTTCAAGGTGGTCATTTAGGTGGTGTTAGTAGAATGTAAAATTAATTGAATATGTGTTTAGATGAGTGTGTAAATATATTATTATTTTTGTTTAAAAAATAATTTATATTGTCAAATTTATTAATTTAAAATTAAATATATTCATTAGATAATTGGAGTTTCTTCTCTGAAGAGAATTTAATTTGAAAAAAAAGAATGATTTTAATAAAGTGAAGCTTGAAATTCCTGCCACCATTTTTCAGTTATTGCGTTTAGTTGTGAAATTGATAAATTTGTACCTTTTAAATCACTATAAATCAATTTAATGATGGTTTCGGAATTTTGTATGAATTGCACCAGTTCACGAATTGTTAAACTATTATTATTATTATCATCAATCATATTGTAGTTGTAACTGAGATTTGAATAGTTTTTATTTGATGAATTTTGCCATTGATCTATAAATGATCTAGCATTAACAATAGTGACTTCTTGTATTGTTCTAGAATCTTGGAAAACTTCAGAAAAAACAGTAAACCAATATCGATCTAATAATTTGAAAATGGTCAATATACTCCATGGTTCAGGGTCTTTTACAAAATAAGTCCAATCATGACCCAGGAATTTTTCAAAGTAATAAATCATTGCCGTTGGAAGATACGAACAAAAACTATTAATAATAGTATTGATAACTTGATTTTGTGGTATACCAATGGTTTTTATAAGAAATTCATCCGGGATTGTTGGTGTTTGAAGCAACATGGTTGATACAACTTCTGTTCGTGTTTTCTTATTATCATTATTATTATTATTTATATCGGCAGCAGAAGCAGCAAAGTCTTCTTTTATTGCTGCTAAATTATTTACTGCGCCTATTGATAGCGAATTAGGTAATTCTCTTGGAGCATGAATCGAATTGTAAATCGATGATTTTATTATGCTATTATTATCATTGTTATCATCATTGTTATTGTGTTTATTATTATTGTTGTTATTGGTGTTGTGTTTAGTGGAATATGGTGACGCTATTGTTTGAACAGAAGAAATAGGATGCAATCCATTTATCTTTGCCGCCTTTAAAATTAAATCATCATCCTGTATGATCATAGATTCATCAATTGATAATGATATAATATTATTTGTTGCTAACTGTAAAGGTACTGAATCATCACAATCCATCATTGTAACATCATAATCCTTTTAAGAGCACGTGTGAGGAAGAGAGAAAATAATGTAAGTATATATAATCATCCAAATTCAAGAATGCGCCAAGTTCAAAATATTTTAATATGAGAAGAATGTCATTTACATAAATTTGTAGATTTTCTTTTTTTTCAATTACTTCAGGTTGATTATTAACAATTGGCAATTGTGGATATTGTATTGGTGGTGAAAATAAACCATCATTGTTATTATTAATAATATTATCTGTAGGGTGATAATCTTCCCATGAATTATTGGGATTTTTTTGAATGCCGTTCAATTCCAGATATGGATATGAATATGGGTTTAAACTTGATTTGGATATAATCATTTCTAATATTCCTTTCAATCCATCACTTTTACTAAAAGATAATGTGTAAATATCTACAGAAAAAAAAAACGGACAAAGAATTGATTGAATTGTATATCCAAAAAACATTTACCATATAATAATAATGATGATAATAAATATTCCATAAGTCTCTTTTACCATGAATCATAGCTTTCACACATAGGTTTTTATCATTAGATAACAAAAAAATGGGAATTTTAGATTCTTTTTGAAAGTATCTGATAAAAAAATTTTTATATTTGAAAATTCCAATTAAATATATATTAAAATATTGAAGAAGAAAAAACATCAGTTAATTGTAGCAATTAATTTGCATGATTATTATTATAATAATTATATTAAGGAAATCAAATCAAATATTCTCACCTACAACAATCTAAAATTTTATCATCATTATTCTTGATCAAATGATCATTCAATAATCAAACAAATAATATCTCATGTCATGATATTAGAAGACAAAAATAAATTATTGTTTTTTTTAAAAAAAAATATCCTTACCTTAGCATTTTCCAACTTTTCATATATTTTCTGACCACGTAACCCATCCAATTTTTGACTCAAACAATTATGCAAGAATGTTATAGCGGTTTTTGCTAAAGTTTTGACATTTGCTTGATTATCATACGGCGATTGAGAAGAAGTAGTGGCGATTGAATGCGATACAAGACTTCCAGGTGCATTTTTTAAACCATCTAATTCTTCTAATACAATCCACGGAATAATTATTAGAAAATTGTTGATCTTTGCATGTTCGTATATGAGAGTCTTGATGAATGAAAGATGTGATAATAAAAAGTTTGTATCTATTACAACAATAGAACCATATGTTAATTTTGAAGTATAATAGGAGTTTATTAAATGAGGATGTGTGATCTGGCATGTTTAAAAAGTAACAAATTAATGATAAAAATATATGTAAATAAATAATAATAATAGTTTTTATAATTCTTTTGTACATATAACATACATTGGAAGATTTTTCGTAAAAAGTGTCGAATATTTGTTCTTTTCGAAACTCCACTACTTGAAAAGTAATATCTTGTAAAGTTATTTCATCATCAATATCCATAAAATCCTGCGTAACTTCTCGAGCCATTTTATCATCAATGAAAAATTTCTTATTATTAAAAAATTTTTTTGGACTTGATTTTTTCGCGAAAACAGATAAATAATAATTTAATAATGGGAACTGAATTAATAAATTTTTATTATGCGCGAGATGTCACTATTTTTTTAACCAAAATTGGATGATCATATTGCAAGAAAAAAAATTATGCCGCCAATTATTGGATTCAATCCTAATCGCCTTAAAGTTCAATTAAAATTAGCAATTAATAGAATTAAACTCGCGCAACAAAAGAAAAATGTTAGTAGTAAATTACAACGTAAAGAAATTGCAACGTTATTAGAAAATAATAAAGAAGAAAGTGCCAGAATAAGAGTAAGCAATAAATGAAATAAATGATTGGTTGCTTTATTGTTTTCATATTGTCATTTTGACTGATCAATCAATTGATTGTTTGTTTCCAGGTAGAAGGAATTATTCATGATGATTATTATGTCGAAGCAATGGAAGTTCTTGAACTGTATTGTGAACTTCTTATAGCACGTTTTGGATTATTAGAACAAATGAAGTAAATGATATTTATGTTTATATAATTAATACGAGTTTTTTGAATAAATAAATGATGGATGAATTAATTAACTAATTAATTAATTAGACAATGTGATCCATCAATTGCCGAAGCCGTTAATACATTATTGTATGCGTCTTCAAGATTGGATATTAAAGAATTACTTCCAGTAAGTAATTAATTGAATAAAATTTTATTTTTTAAAGATAATTCAAAACAATCATAATTTTCCAGATCAGAGACCAATTTATTTCAAAATTCGGCAAAGAATTTGTGAAGAATGCAGTTGAAAATGTGAATGATTGTGTGAATGAAAGGGTTTGTGTATAACCCATATACCTATCTGTTAAATTTATATAATATACACACATATAAATCAATTATTTTGTTTTATTTTCTTTTTTAGATTGTACAAAAATTAATTGTTGATAATCCGGATTCATTTCTTGTAGAACGATATCTTGAAGAAATTGCTAAAAGTTTTAATGTTGATTGGAACTCAAAACATAATAATTATTCAGATAAAGAAACAATAGATGTATGTGTGTGTGTGTATATATATATTATATAACATTACGAGATGAAATAATAATTTTAGCAACCTTTGTTTCTTTTAGTTGGATGATTTAAGTATTAAATTAAATAATAATAATAGTAAAGAGAAGGATGAATATACAGCATTACCAGATTTAAGTGCTATAATTTCTTTAGGTGACAATAATAATAATATTGAAAAGAAAAATAAGAATAGTGAAAATAATAATAATAATAATAAAAATAGCAGTAATAATTTGGTAAGCAAAATTAAAAATTATAAATCAAAATATTCTTTTTAATTCATTCAATTTTTTTCTAAATTATTTAACTTTATTTAGAATTTAATAGATTTAGATTCATCAGCAAATGTTCCAAAAAATTTACCACAATCATCACCATCACCATCATCTAAAAAATCATCATTGTTTAAACTTGATGATGATCCACCTTCTCCGATATCACCACCAAATGAAATAATTAATGATGGTAATAAAATTGATCAAGATGATGATGGTTTCTTTGTTAATAAATCATCGTCACCTTCACCTCTGCCTCCGCCACCACCTTATACAAAAACAACAACGAATAAAAAAGATGAGGAATTCGATGATTTAATGAAAAGATTTGAAGCTTTAAAAAGAAAATGATTTAATTATTAATTATTTATTGATAATTATTACTAGTATATATGTAATTTTATATTATTTCGTAGGTTTATTTTTCATTTAAATAAATTATTATTTTTATTAATTAAAATTATAAATATTAGCTCTATTAAGTTTGATGGGATTTTGCTTTCTAGTGTATTAAAAAAAAAAAAAAATGCTATTTTAAAGAAAAAGTCCAAAACATATTACAAAAAGCTATGATAACTTTTCGAATAGTTTCATCACCGAAACAGGATTTGCTTTTCCAAACTTTTTACATAAATCAGTAAAATTCTCTGTGCATCGTAAAGAAAGCCTACTAATAATTATATAAACCGCTGCTAAAGCGATTTCATTTGATTTGTATTGTAAAACTATTTCTGGCAATTTGACTGCTTTGTAAATAATAAAATATACCTCAAAAGAGAATTTTCTTTGAATTAATGTAAAATGTTCATTATTTTTATTTTTATTTTTCTTCTCTTTCATTTTCTCTTTGTTAACTTTTATCAATTGATTTATATATTTGTCTGCAAAATAAAAAGGTGATTCTCGACAAAAATCAATTCCTAACAATCCAACTAAATCAGATTCAGCATTAATCACCTCCCTCATTAATTGTTTACATTTTAGATCTTCTTGATTCAATGGTTTTACTTCAGGCTTTTGTATTGCCCATGCCGCGATAACAATTTCACGAACAGTCCTTAATACAAATGTGCTTTTACACGCCAACAATAAGCTTGCCGAGGAAATGATAATATTCGACTTATGTTTCATCAAACGTTTGTAAATCTTTGTATCTGATGTTTTTGAGATGTATCTTCTTAAATAGAAAAGGTGGCAATTTATTAACGCTGTCCCAATTGTATTAAAATGTACATTCATTTTGTTTCCTAACTTGATAATCAATTCTGTGAGATCCTTTGGCATCTTCATTTCTTCTTTAATCTTAATATCTTCCATTGTATGAGAGTAAAGAATAAAATAATTGGTATTTGTGAAAAAGAGAATTTATTTTCCAGATTAGCAATTTTTTAATGTTTCCAGACGTGATTTATTAGGTTGTACAGTCAAAAAATCAAAAAATATAAAATTTTCTCCACATTCACACACATGAAGACCGTCAGGTAACCTTCCCAAATAGGATATAAATGCAGTGTAATTTTGTATGTCAATGGTACTGGACTTAATCTTGGCCGTTTGGATTTGTATATATATTAATAAACATTTGTACTACCAATAATTTTAGGGTCCGCAAACTTCATAGATAGGTCAGTAACAAAAATTCCTGTTTGTTATATGATTTGACCCGGGCCAATATTAATATTAAGTTTAATATATAACTTAACCTTAATGTTTGCAATAATTTGTCCCATAATATATATTATAACATTAAAAATTTTGAAACTGTCTACTGTATGAAATTAAATTTTACCAATCAATTGATTTAACTGATTGATTTTTATAATTATAATATAAAAGATTTACTATATGATTTTGTTTTTTGAATTGGGTATGTAGGAAAAAATTTTTTTACACGAAATTTTTGGATCCCTAATAAATTGTTTGCTACTAATATATTTGACCTTATTAAACCTAACCAACCTTTTTGATGTATATAATAATTTACCCACAGATTGATCTAACACTAAATTAATTGACCCTAATACTATGTAAAGTTTTTTAATTTTATAAATAATTTTGACCCTGTTATAATTACTGACAAAAAATTTAAATTATATATGAATTCGACCCAACTGTGGCAGTAACACCATTTTTGAATAGCCGTAGATTTATATAGAGAAGACCTTTCGATATGAAAGAATATTCATTATAAAGCTTTAATGGAGTATTTCATTTTACTCTAACAACAAAGTTTGAATTTATTATAAAAATAACACTAAAAAAACTTCATGTGATTTAATATAGAAAATAAAGTGATAGGACATGTCACACGACTGCTAATATTTATTATGAGGCGGGGATGAAACAGTAGGACTTGGATTAACATTTCAGGGTGGGTGCGTATTAGCTTGTTCTAATGCCTGTACTAATAAGCTTTTGTTTACGATCATAATGTTTCTCAAAGTTAATAGAGATTTGGTATGCAACGTATGGGGGTGATAATGGGATTTCAGAATTGTCGAAATGGAAATATCTCGGTAAGCCAGCCAAGTCCTTTACAAGAACGTTGAGACGCATATCTGTACCGGCAATCTGAATCCCTGCAATTCCAAATTGGTTGCTGACGGATCTACATGACGCACCTATAAAGCTCGCCCCGTCTAATGTTTCCCTCCATAGCTTTCACGTCGTCATCCGTTTTTTTTTTTTGAATTAGTACATATAATACGTGAAGACTCAACGTACATCAGTTCCAAAATTTTATCATCAAGAGTCCCATAACATCGGGCTTCTTTCCCATTCGTTCCTCATCTACTTTTAAATTTCGTCTAGCCTTGCTTGCTAGACTTTGTCGTTCTGCTGTGCTTAAGCAAATGGTCCCATTCGGTGAACCCCAAGCATGTTCAGAGTAAAGGAATCACAACATCTGTGACATATGTCCTTTCACTCTGTTCACTACGAGACATACTAGTCATAAATGCGGGGTTACTCCATATCTCATCACTAATAAAAGTATATTAGAATATGTAAAAAAAAAAATGTTACGCCACTATTAAGTATAAGAAAATTACTTACCGTGTCTCAAGAATACGTTCCGTTATTTTTATTAATGTACTTTCATCTTCTTTCCAGTTTTTATCATGAAAAATATTTCTCGGGACTTTCGTAGTGATCGAGTTATTAAAATTACTTGTAAATTCATCGAATTACGCAGGAACTGATTCAGGAATAGTACATTTCATGTTTTCTTGAGGTTCCAAAAAATTGTTTTTTTTCCCTTAAAGTAATAATATTGTTTGCAATAAATAAACAAATAAATACATAGGCAATCCCGTTAATCCGAACCCCGTTAATCCGAAAACCCCGTTAAAATGAATAATTTTTAAAACACCAAAGCCAAACATATGTAAAATTACCCCGTTAATATAAACCGTAAACCGAAGAAATTTTTAAATTTTTTGAAGCCATTTATATGTAAAATTGCCTCGTTGATCCGAATTTTTATAAACTGAAGTGAAATAAAAATTGGACCAATAATAATATTAATATTAATATACAATTTATACAAATACATATGTGAAATTGAAATCTACGTGTATAATTAAAATTTTGGGGTGGAGCATTTGGATATGAAATTCTGATTGATTAATTTGAATATGTGAATTGCATATTCTTATTCTTATTATTTATTAATAGTGGTTGTTGTGAATATGTATAATAAAAAAGTTGTTATTTTTATTATTACTCTATTGTAATAAATAACAACGATTATTGTTGCAAAGTAGCATATATATACTGTATAAAAATAAATCGCAACAGAAATTGGGATCTACATCAGTAAAACTTTGATAAAATTTTATAATCGAATGTCTTCCTTGTTGTGTAGCAACCACCACCAAATTTGAGATATAACTTCTTTATCATATTAATATGCATATGCTTTAAGAAAATTTTTAAAGCAGGTTGTTAATAAAACCGAAAATAATCTGACCCTCAAAGTCCAATTTTGCCTTTATATTCATATATGTAAAAATTTGTTTGACGCGTCCATTTGCAAGTATAGGCAGAAATAAATGTCCAAATATTACATTATTATGAATAATTGCAAATTTTTGATCATTTAGGTATGTCTTTTATAGTAAAACCATTTATTTTAAAAATAAATATAATAAATAAATAGATTTTAAATTTTTTCTTTACCTATTTGATGATTATTTGAAAGAATCTTTTACTAATAATGTTATATTTGTAATTCCAACTTAATTGATCATTCTCCCGAAGAAGTCAAAGGTTGTTTCAAGGATTGCCATAAATATATTAAACAATGTACAAAGTTAATTGAAATGTTTTTTGACAGGGATAAAAACGAGCCTCTAATAAATTGGATTGAGAAGATAGAAGAAGTGAATTGATTATTCATGAATGTAAAATAATCAATTTAATTGGTTCTCTTATTACATTGAATTGATACAGATTTTGCATAAAAAGAACATAATTATAGTGAATTGAATTCAAATATATAATAAAAGTAAAAATTTTTAAATAACAATAACATTCATTAACTGACTCTAATGTTGTTGTTTGACGAAATGTTACCAAAGTTGTAAAACCATTATGTCTAATTCGCTGCCATTAAGTCAAAAATGATGCAAGTAAAAAAAACACTTGACGTAAGGTTGCTTCAAAGCTCACAAAAAAAACATATAAATATATATTTCAAGGTCTCATCAGTTGTTCCCAAGGAGCTAAATTTTTCTTTTGCTGAATTCTCACTCGAACATTTCTCATATTAATATTAATAACGTGATATATACATGATCGTGGTAGATAAAATCACCGAATATTTTATGTTCCAAGGCCAGTGTAGACCTATACAACATAATTATTATCAAATGAAAATTCTATGCAAAAACTTTTTATAATTATCAAATTACTGTGCAAATAATTATGGAAGTTTTTATAAACCTTTCTTTATTGTAATGATCAAATTAACTTGAACAGGAATAATAACTTCGAATCCAAACAAAACTTCTGATAGAATTATTATTTTTATTAATTTTTAATAAACAAAAACGTTGTCTTTATTTTCTTTGTTTAAAGCCCTTGGATGAAAACAGCAAGTGTAGTAGTGCCTTGGTAAAGGATAAAAATTGTGGAACTTTGGTAAAAGGCCACGTTTTATTTGCAAGCGAGGTTAGGACTAACGTTGGTTAATTAGCGAGTGTTAATGAAGTGTCGTCCAATAGTTGATTGAAATTACCGGTAGTATTATTGTAAGGATGTCACAAACAAGATACTTAAGTTGTTTCACAAAGTAGGTTTGCAATCGGCCAATAAATATAGACAAGAAACAAGTAAACTAATTAATTGGCAAGTACCGAATTATTGTGAGTTGCTTGCAATTAACCAATAAGAGTACTCCAAAAGTTAAGCCATAATCAGCCAATACTTGTTAAATGATTGGTATTAACCGAAATGATACCTCGCAATATCACTATTTAACAAGAATAAAAAAACTGTAAAAAGTTTATTAAGATAACGAAATAAGAATAAAAATAAAAAAAAAGTAAATTTATAGTGGAGATTAAATTAGTTATTCATCGATTCTTTCTAGAAATCTAATGTTTATTAATTTAATTAAAAATGTTGTTAGCAATGGATAGGTAGTAATTTCCAATTAATTAATTAATAATGAAATTTTTATTCACCTTTGTTAACGTTTAAAAAAAAAGAGTTACAATCAAGATCATTTAATGAAATATTACTTGCATAAATTTTTAAGCTTTTAGATTTAGCAATCTCTTCATCTAAAATTCTACTTTTATGATACGCATCTGGATGTGATTTGTGTACTTGTTGCGAATCACCACCACCACCACCACTACTGATATTATTATCATCATCATGAATTGCATTAATTGCAAAATCACAAAGCTCATCAATAATTGGTCTTTTTGATGGATCCACATCCCAACATCTCTGCATCATTTGCACATAATCATCAGGCATTCCTGGTAATATTGGTGGTCGTAAACCTTCTGAACATATATCAAAAATTAAACGATGATTGTGAGCTCTATCATCAAATGGTGGATGACCTGCAAATATTTCCCACATTAACATTCCAACACTATAGATATCTGATTCTTTAGTGTTCTTTTTGCCTCTAAGTACTTCGGGTGCAACATATGATACAATTCCATAGACTTTATCTGATGATTTTTCATCAACTGGTCCACATAATCCTAAATCTGTAATATAACAATTACCTCCTTCCATTAATATATTACCACTATGTAAATCACAATGGATCAAATCTTCTTGATGTATAAAATATAATGCACCGCACAAATACGCAAAGATTGTAATTCTGTCTTTTAATGTTAAATTTAAATGATTTTTTTGCAAATAATCCCTTAAACTTCCATCTGGGAAATAATTTAAAACTATTGTATAATTTCCATTATCTGGGAATTTAGTTATACCATAAACTATCACTGGTGTTTTAATTTTATAATAATTCATTGCCTGAAAATAAATAAAATCAATTAGTATTATATAATACTGTATTATTTAAATGACAACTACCAACCTTATCAAAAAAGCCTTTTCCTGGATTACTTGAATCATTTAAGCTTTTTAATACTACTCTTTGTTCACCAAAATAACTAAATTCCTTTTTATTTTCATCATAATCACTAAAAGTTCCTCTTGTCCATGTGGCAGTAAAAATCGAACTAAATCCACCTTCTGTCAACTTTGTTATACCATCAAATTGCTCAAAAGGTATCCATTCTAAAGTATAAATTGGCAGAGATGATATAATTTGACATTGTTGAATAAAATGGTCAATTATTTTATTTCCAGATGTCCAAGTAGTGAAAAGATGCTGTAAATGTAAACTAATGCAACTTTCGCAGAGTCTATCAGAATATCTTGTCAATCTACATTTGTTGCACTCTTTTGGTTTGCCTGATTTATCTCTTGCAATTGCTAATTCAATCTCATAAATAAAACGTTCCTTACAATATTCTTTTTCATTTTCAGAAAGTTTTTTGTTTTCTTTGACTAATGAAAAAAAATAATCTTTCCTACTTTCTTTATCAGAATTAATTGCAGCATTACCAATCATTTCAGCATCGATTTTAAATACGATGTTTCTTCTTTCTGGTGATATTAATGATAATGATTCATTATATGACATTGTGTAAAAATATAAAATATAAAAATTGAATAGAGCGGAGAAAAAGAGATTTTTTTTTAGTGTAGTGGTTACATTATCTCCGTGTTACGATGCCTTACTAAATGTAATAACCCTTCTTTTTTTTTTTTTATTAATTAAATTCGTGAACAATTTCCCTTTGTATGTGTGATTTTTTTAAACAAATAAACAAATAAATTTTTTGCTCGACGCAATGAATAAAATATTAATATTGATACAATAATAATATGACTGGCTAATGTTGATGCTATATAGATACCTCGAATTTGAATGTAACGTGTAAAGCCAAATCATACATAGGGTGCCATTTCAGTACTACGTGTCTCGACCCTCGAATTTGAATGCAGAAATTATTTTAAAATCTAATGCTTCAACAATAAAGAATTTCAGCATTCCTTTTTTTTTATTTTAAGATTTCAGAATTAACCTTACAAAAGTTGTTCTACGTACCAACCACCCTATGTGCGTGTTTCAAATTCAGACGCTCAAACACATTATTAATATTATTGCGTATTACTTAGTTAACAAAATTCAAATTAACAATTTGATTTTTTCATTTTATGAAATGTAATAAAAGAATAGTAAAAAGAAGATATATTTTTATTTTGAAAGAGAATACACGGAAAAAGTTTTATATAATAATAATAATAATTATTATTATAATTATATATTCAATTTAATAAACTTCCCATGATAATTATTCTTCTTGCGTCATTGCAATATACATACAATAATAATAATCCCCGGTGAAATGTAGTGAAGCAAACTCGGGTGATTTCAGCACTTGAATTAATATCTGTATGCGCGTTAGAGGAAAAAAAAATTTAAAAATATCGTAATGATCTCAATCACAAATTATTTTCAGTTTATAGCTTTTCCTTAACCTTTTCTTTGATTAGACAATAGAGTCAGTCAATAATGTATGACGAAACTTTTGACTTTAGTTAGTTATTGACGTAACTAGAGTATTGATTAAAGGTGATTTCTCACTAGGGCCATTTTGACGATTGACTAAAGTAAAAGCTCTTGACGTAAGTAAAAACACCAGCAATAATGATAAAATAAGATTATCAAAAGTTCCATTACGTAAAAATTTGTGTCCCGAATCAACTTTGTTTTTAAACGCTTGTGGAGGGAAATCTATAATATTAATAATATTTATAAATCATATCCAAGAATCGTTGGAGAGACTAGACAATTTACCATCTGGTGCGTAAACCAGCGAATGTTTCGAACGCTGTCTACCAGACAATTTGTGCAGCCTTTGAATGTCAAGGTCAAAATTTTCAGCTTGTTCTCGTACCTATATGCCAACACTTTATGGGGACAATTTAGCAAATTGCTGTTAAGCGAGACTGACATAAGTAAAGTTGGCCCTATTGAAGGTGATTAATTGATTGTTGTTTTGTTTATTAAAAATATAACAGATTTTACAGATTTTATGAATGCTGTCACATAAGCTTATTATACTACTTGATAATTATTACGATTCTGACAGTTAAACAAAATTCTCAAGACCACAAGTCACTTCCATTACGGAAATATTTCTACTCTTTTAATTCGTTGCGTTAGACTCCAAATTTATAATTAAATTTTGTAAACGTCTTCGATTCCAAAAGACAACTATATTTCCCACTGATTAACCCCCAACCGCTTTATATTATTAAAAAAAGGAGCGACTGCGGCGTACCACAATCACCCCAACCACCAAAAATTATGCGCTCGAGATACCCGTAGAGGATATTCGGAGCAATAGGCACCAGCGCTGTGCAATGCCAGCACCCATCACCCGTACCGCCACCTTCATGATCATGGCAGTACCGCGCCAGGTAAGTATGAAGAAAAACTTTTTGCAAATATGGAATTTTATTTATTTCAAAATTTTTAAAATAAGAAATTATGGGATAATTTGTGTTGTGGAACAAAAAAAAACTATCATTACCATTTTATCACTTTTTTGTTAACTAATCATCAATTCGTCAATTTTAATATAGTCGTTTATGTTCATTTCATACATATATAGACGATCAATCACTTACCTTTATTTTTTTGCATCAATATTCGATTACGAATTATTTAAAAGATTAGTAATATACGTCAACCATACTACCATTTATTGAGAGTTAAAATAGTTCATTCATTGTCTATTTTTTTTTTTTTTCACCAAACAACAAAAATTGCTCACTCGTACAAACTTTCAAAAAGGGATAGATTTGTATTATTTTATTACTATTTATGGAAAAGAATATTTAAAGTAAAAAAAAATTAAAATAAAAACCCCCAAAAAAATTCTTTGCTCAAGAAAACACTCTACGAAAAACTAATTCAACGATAACAATAAATAAATTAAAAATGACTGTAAGTAATTAATTATTTATAATTAATTTTATATTACAATTTAATTATTTCCAAAATCATTAATAATAATGATATTTTTATTTGTTATGATGTGATGATGATGATGTATATAGCAAACTCATAAATTTGAAGTTAACCCAATGACATGTAACGGTTGTTCTAATGCGGTCAAAGGCGCTTTGACCAAGAAAGGTACATTTAAATAAGCATACAACTGTATTAATTAATCAAATTGATTGTGTAATAATTATCTTTTTGCTACAAAAATAAAATTTTTTAAAAAAAAGGAATCGAGACTTCTGACATCAAGATCGATCTTACTAGTAAAATTGTCGAAGTTAAAACAGATCTTACAGCTGATGAAGTTCTTACTGCTATTACAGCAATTGGGAAAACTGCTGTAAAAGTGGATTAGTCATTTATTCATGAGAATGAATAACAATAACGATATAATATAATAATAATAATAATAATAATAATAATAATAATTAATTTTTTGGTTCTTTAAATTATCAATAATTTGAATAATTTCGATATTATTATTATATTTCAATATTATTTATATATTTAAATATTCCTCTTTATTTGTTATATGGTTAAATTTTTTTTTTTTTTTTGTTTGTAGAATGATAATAAAGTTTTAAATTTTTATTTCTTTCTATAATATAATTATTGATAATAGATATAATTGTTACGTACATATTATATTTATAATTTTCTTGAATAGGCCATTATTGAGTCAATGAACAAGTGAGTGAAGAAGCAACAAATTTCTCAGCTCTCCCTCCCTCCTTCCTAACAAATAAAATTTGAATCATGTGATTGGTCTTTTTTGGAAATTGATAAATCACATGATCGACAAAATAATAATAAATGTTCCTTGATTATCTATCTTTTCTATCTCTTTCTATCTCTCTCTCACTTTCACTCTCGCAAGTCTTTTTTCTCTTCTTTTTTTCTTTTTTCCCTTCTTCTTCAAATTTGCATCTTTCTCCAATACCTTTTTTCTTATTTACTACCACACTCACAAAAGTAACAAATTGACAAATAAAAACACACCAAAAAATTTTTTTTTTACCAATGTCTCCGACTTTTACAGATTTATGTGGTGAATCTGACTCAATAACACAACAAACTAATGATATTCTATATAAAATTAACAAAATAGAAAAAGAAGAACTTGAACAATTGGAGGGGTATTTAATGCTAAGAGAACAACAACAATCACTTAAAAAAAAACACGACGAATTATTCAAAAAACTACAATATTTATCAGATAAATATAATAATAAATTACCGAGAAGATTAAAAGATGCCTTGAAAAAATTTCAAAAGCCCAGCAAAAACAAAAGCGATGTTCATGTTCATAATAATGATATCTTTGGGAGGAATGGTATAAACTTTGTTTATTCTTGAATATTGTTATTATCACTATTATCATCGTTTTCTAGATTAACATTCTACTTTGGGTTAATTATTATTATCTTCAGCAGCTTCAACTACTTTGTCTACCTTTTCTACCTTTTCTACCTTTTCTACTATTTCTTCTTCTTCTAGTTATTCTTCTGGTTCTTCTTCTTCAGTATCTTTTGCATCATCTTCTTCCTCTTCCTCTTCCTCTTCTTCGGTAACTTTTACCACTTCACCCTTTTCTAATAAAAAGTATAAAAATGAATCAACAACTACAATCGACGAAATTAATCGGAATTATTTACAATCAAGATTGGATTGTTCAAATAAACTAATGCAAGTTAAACGTGAATTATTCAAATGCATAGAAGAACAAAATGTGGTTGATCAGAATAAAGAAAGTTTGAAAAAGAAAAAACAAAAATTACAACTGGAAAAACAATCTTTATTAGGGTTAAAACAAAAATTGGAACAAAAACAAAATGATTTGATGTTAACTGGTTTTTTGGGAAAGTGAAATCTCGTGCTGTATAATTTATTGTGATTGGTTTGGTTGATTATTGGTTTTTGCGTAGTTGGTGGAAATTAATGATCTCTTTTTTTTTTTTCAAGAAAATTTATTTCTGATTCTTTTTTTTTTAAATGATTAATTGGAATTATTTAATAATTTATTATTGTCGTTATTATTATCATCAATCAATAAATCAACGATTAATTAACAACTCTGTAGATTACATATTATATGTTTTTTGTGTGTTATATATATATTCTGATAAAATTATTTATATATAACACATACACATTTAAAATTATTAAAAATTAAAATATATACATTAAGTACCAAAAAAAAAGTTTTTAAAGAAATGGATGAAAGGAAGATCAGAAAAAAAAATTTGATAACATAAAAATGTGTGTGTGATATATGCTAATGTGTATGGTAAGTTAATTATTATATTTAAAAAAAAATTTTTAACTACCTTAAAAAAAAGTTTTTTTTAATCATTCCTCATCATATTGAAGTCGTCAATTCATTAATCATAACAAAAATAAATTTATTTAAGTTATGGTGTACAAAAATTAGATCTCGGCCACCATTTTTTCTCGCAAGAACATTGTAAAATTGATAAAGTATTTTTCTCTCCGTGAATTCTAAAAGGTAAAAAACCATCATCCTCTAAACAAATAATTCACCATTTGTTAAAATAATACTTCTTCTAATGTCATCATTACTACCAGCACCACTACGAAGTTGTTTCTTGAAATTAGTTTTATGATAATTTGAGGGTAATGTATTATATCCTAATTTATGTGTCGATGAAGACAATCGTTTAGACGATGATAACCCTATTGAAGAATATGAGTGAGTGGTAGCAGATCTGGCCCTACGATAAGGATATTGATGATCATTACGTATCCTGTCTTTCCAAACGCACCATTGTAAAAAAATGGTAACATCGAATGATAATGTACCAACTGAACCTAATATATATGGTATTTTATCTATTAGAAATAATGGATCGCTGGATGCCAATGGGTTGGTGAATATCGACATTGTATAGGTTAGATTACCGAGGGCTGCGAATATAAACATTACAATCGATAATCCTTCAACAGATTTTCTTTGGTGCTGTAATAATTAAAAGTGATGGTAATTATTAGTATTAGAATTTGTTAATCAATCATATCATCACTTTTTTTACACGCACTAGCATGCCAATATATTAATAATAACCATCATCACCCTACATTATATATATATACATATACATACATTTTGCCATATTTGAGGCATTCTACTAGTTAAATATAATGTGGTACACATCCAACTTATCACTCTACCAATGATTAAAGAGTTACTTCCAAAAAAATTTTCGAAAGATGATAATGATAATGATGGTGTTAGTATTTTATCATGATTTGGATACAACGTTTGTGATGATTGTGGTAGATATAATGGTTGTGATTGAGATAGTGATGATGGTGATGGTGATGGTGTGGATATCGGTGAATATGTTGAAGAAGTTGTCATAGGATTAAAAGTTAATAATAGTAATGCAAATAATGTTGTCACTGAACTGTTGTTGTTATTATTTTTTTGTTAGAAGAAAGATTATACATTAATATATGTGTATATATTATCAGATTAAACATTAGAAGAATAATATTATCATCGTTAACATACGAATACATACACTACTTCTTTCTTCTTTGAAGGAAAAAATGTGGAATAATTTTTTTTAGCGTTATCATTTATTGATTTTTTTAATGTTGTGCTATTACGATTGCTGTTATTGCTATTACTGCTGCTGCTGCTACTACTGTTATGATTGTTGTTGTTATTGTTATTGTTGGAGTTGTTGGAGTTGTTGGAGTTGGTATCGATTATTCTTTTAGACGATGATCTTATTGAAGAAGTTCTTGAGGTTTTCGATATTGGTTCTAATTCTTTACGCTCTTCGCAGTCATCGTCGCCATTAATTGAAGATGATGACCATGTGTAATAAAAATATTGAAGAAATAGTGCACAATCCATTGAACAAAAATACATCGATAGGTATGTCTAAATAAAGTAATGATGGGATGATGAAAGATACCGTTAGAATCAAGTTTTCTTATCGTGAAACACACTAACTATATTATTACTAGAATGTTATTTGACTATCTGCAATTAATTATAATTTGATTACTATATTTATATTACAACCCAGCTAACTATATTTAATATTATATAATAATTGCCGTCGTGTGATTGATTTTATTTATTTATTTATTCACATGATTGCATATAATTATGTAATATTTGTAATATTTATATTTGTGCGATCATCGTATACGTATAAAAAATAATGGACGATTAAGGGGGATTTTTTTAATTCAAATTTTACCAAAATAAAATAAAAAACTTACTTGAAACGGCAATTGTTTCGTTAATAAGCAACCAACTAAGTTAGTAACATCACCGAGCAACAAAATCATCAAGAATTGTATACTAACTCCATCCGTTGATTTGTTCTTGTAATTTGTTATTACTTGGCTATAAGAGATTGTGAGTTTGAATGTGGGGGTTAGTTAAGAATAAAAATAGGAGAGCGAAGGATTTGTAAGTTGGAAAAAGAACACTTACGGTGATTGCGCATTCAACCAACATGCTATCGACAAAAAACCTATAACATAAATAAAAATTTTATTAAGTGGATGTTTGAAATCTTTTTTTTTCAATAAATAAAAGTTAAACATTTACCTAATAATAAACTTGCAGCTTCCCTGTTACCATAGACACAAGAACCAAACAGCATATGTATCCATTTTATATAGTGCGAGCCATTTTGTGTTATTGGATCGCAAACTTCAGGCATATTATTAACGTTTATATTATGATATTATGATAGTATGATATTTTGATAGTATGATATTTTGATATTATTGTTATTATTGCACGTCGTTGTTCTTCTTCTTTTGTTTGAAATAAAATATGGATGACGGATAGAGAAATTATAGAAAATGAAAACTTGTTTTTTATTTTATAATTATTATTATTCACAGTTATTTCGCTTTCTTGCGTATTTTTGACAAAAAAAAAAAAAAAAAGAAAATTAATAACAAAAAAATGTTTTTTTTTCAAAACAAAAAAATTATTTATGTATATATGTATTATATACGATTATTGATGATGATAATCATGAGAAGGGAGAGAAAAAGGAAAGATAATTTTGTGTGGTTGTGGTGGCCGAGCGAAACGTTAAAGATCATTAAAATTAATTAATTGATTGATTAATTAATTGTAAAAAAAAAAAATTTTAAATGAACAAAAACCAAAACGTGAAAATTTAGATATTTATATCATTGTGTATATTTATTATATTATTTATTATTAGAAATTTGTATATGAATGGAGTCATTAAAAAAGGGAGCGTGATTAAACAAACAGCAAATTTTAGGGGACGAAAAACAAAGTTCAAATTATTTATATGTGTTAGATAATGCATATATATATATATAACATATACATATTTATATTATGTTAATGTTGATTGGTTGGTATATATATATATATAAGTAAAATCTCCTTTTTCAATATTGAACTGTATATATTTAAAAATTAAATTAATTGACCAATTACATAACTCTACAGTTTATCAACAAATCAATAACTTTTATCTCTTAATCGATATATCAAACCACAGCCAGACAAAGATAATAAATGGTATTTCTTTCTTCGCTAAAAAAAATTAAAAATCCATTTCTTCCATTTTTTTTTTAAGACTTCTACAGGTTTGCTTTGACCACGTGCCAACAAGTTATGCCCATATTTGTCTACACACATAATCACATTTATACATATAATGCATTCTTTTGTTTTTGACATTGTGGAAATCTTGTACGAGTGAGAAAGTAACTGTGTATTTTAATTGGCTAAACTTAAAAATTTTTTTTATTTTTTCGAATATTAATATTTCTTTTTCGCGTTTTTTTTTGTAGTATTTTAGAAATATCAACTTCTTGGATTTGTAATTCAATCTTTTGTTCATTCAAGAAAAAAGAAAAAAAGAAAAGAGGCTTTGATTTATTTGGTTATTTGTTATTTGATCATTATTAATTCATGTATCCATGTGACTACATTTTTATGCAAAATACAATAATATGCATTAATTAATAATATATACATGATATGTTTGATTCCATTAAAAAGTGTCTACTATAAAGGATTATTTGGTTTCAATCAATTAATTTATACAATATAATAACTAACAATAACTAACTGGCCGACTAATTGATAATTAGATAGACGAATTTTTAGGGTTTTTTCTTATCAAATGATCACAAGGTCTTTAAAGTTCCTAAATATTCCGAAAAATTAATTTCTTATCGCATGTTTTTTTTTAAGAGTATTTATTATATTAATAAAATAATAATATCGGAACAAAGTGAACAGAAACAACCTAAACTCCAAAAGAATGTTATTAACTCAAAATCATGATTTTATATGTACTTCGTCATGAGGATTAATTGCATCAAGTGTGGATATGGTTTCTAACCCAAGATATTTATTTAAAACGTGTAATCTTTACTGATGATTTCCGAGTTTTTGGATCGTGACCAACCAGTTTATTATTAGTCGAAATTATATATGAAACTAGAATAGCAATTCGATTGCCTTTTTTGGGTTATACAAAAGGATCGACGAAACTGTTGAAAATCATGGTTATTAAATATGAATCAATGAGCATCTTGTTTCATAGCAATTGTGCAAATAGAAAAAATTCAATGTTATTAACATCTATATTTTTCTTTTCTTTGCCTTTATTGGTTCTACTTTGGGGGGATGTACAGATTATTTGTTTCTGAAACAATCCTCTGGTTCATAGACGGATCATCAATTAAAATGCAAAATAGAATCGTCGGTAGAGTTCGTAATAGGCAGGTTGAATAGGTTGTCTAATAATATTGTTATACTATTGTGGAATAGTTTTCTTCCCTAGACAATAATTAGCGTCTTAATAGTTGCAGTGTAATTTATCAATATGATTTAATTAATGGTTTATTATATGTTTATCATCAAAAACGAAATGTTGGACTGAAGAATAAATTCGTATATATATACACACACATATATATATATATATATATATATGTAATTTTATTATTTATTTTTATTCGATGTTCTTTACTGATTATTTTAAAAATGATTGGATTGATATACAATATATCATACCGATATACCAAAAATCATTCTAGAAACATGAGATATATGGCATAATAAATCTCGGAAAGATCTGTAATTTAAACCCCCCTTTTTGCTGATACACGTATTAAATTTACTAAATATGGTAATGATTTCTTTTTATAATAAATAAAAACCAATTGATAGGGGACCCATTGGCATTTGATCAATCCTAATGAAGTAATCTGTTAGATACCATTCTTGATAGATTTTTGTCTAAAAACGCTAGTAATTCTAATTTCTCTTTGCTTTCTTGCTTGTCGCATCACCTTATATGGGTGAAACAGACTATAAAGGATAGATCACTACCGTAGTCGAGTCAATTCTCATATATACTAAAAGACCTAAAAGATTTTCCCAAATCGCAGTGTGGAGTTAAGCTTTTTATTATATCAAATCATGATTTTTTCATTATAGTAAATGTTGATCTCATCGAATAAACTAATTCAAATTTGACCCAAAAATCGGTTATCCGAGTTTTTGGATTTAATCTTTACTTGATTTGGCAAGTCCAACATTTATTATTACTATATATAAATAAAGGGGATATTTAAATTTGAGTTTTTAATGTGAAAATAAAAAATTGGGGATATTAATATGTTTAATATTGTGTAACATAAGTTAATCTCAAATGATCTATATTGTTATTATTGGCACCAAATGATCATTTTTTAATGGAAATAACAATAAATAATTCTGCTCAACAAAAAATAAAAATCTAGTCATGGCAGAATGCCTGACACAGTGACAATTGATTCTAATTTAAAAACATTTAAATAACGTCATGAAAATTCCACCAGGAACATCATATGGTCAAACTAAGCTAAATAAATTATAAGGATAATTAATTAATTTTTTTGTGTGTTTAATTCGTGCTTCGCCGATCATGTGTAGAAATCTATTACCATTGCTATTATTATTATAAAATTGCACAGATAATCAACATTGTAAAATCGATGAAAACCTGTTCAATGGACACGTATTACACTGCGTCGCCAGATTCCATGGATAAAATTTGTTTTTATTTGTACTAAACATATTTTAATTATAGGGAGGAACGAGATAAGAAAAATTTGTAAATAACTTATCTCTGTTCGAAACACGAGTTAAGTGTTATTTTTGTTATTATTATGTAATAGATTTTTACATAATAAAATATTTTTGGTGATATTAATTTTTTATAAAATACATTTTATCAAATTTATTGTATAGTTTATTTACCCCTAAGAAGACGAATAAATATTTTTGCAATAATAAATATCAAAATAATTGTTACAATTATGTTGTCACTGGTTGATTTTGGGGGATCAAATTGATAACGGTACAAATAATAGACTATAAGGATCAAATTGATCAGGGAAAATAGTTTTGAGCGTGATTTGATTATCAAGTCGAAGCTTTCTTTCATTCAAGAAAAAGCTATTCTCAAAGTATATTGAATTCGAGTTGTTTATACACATGTTTTATAATTGAACGTCTACTTTATCAACTTTGACGATTTTGTTGACCAAGTCTACCGTCGTAATTTGTCGATTTGGCCGATTGGTTGTCTTAATCAACTTTATCAACCCTACGTAGTACTACCTAAGTAACTAATACATTTTTAAATAAATAATAATTGAGAATATCGCACGGATCTTCCATAATTTATATCCATACAAAAAAGCCATTTCAACTAGTCAATTTGAGAAGTTGATATTTCCTCAACAAAGTCTCAATTACTATAAAAATTTAAGTTCTATTTGTTATGAGTCAAAATCAATAATTAAAAATTTTTAGTGGGGTATTTTGGTTACAACATTCTAATTGGCTAATGTGCATGAATTTACAGCTACAGATTTCAAATTGCAACATTTTCCGGTTGAGTAAATACAAGAAAGCATGTACGTTATATTTCTTTGTTTACGTATATTATGTTTTTAAATTTTGTTTTACAAGCATTATATGATTTCTTGTAAATAGGAGAAAAAGAGAATGGAAGTTGAAATGACCGATAACAACAGCGAATGGATTTCGTCCTGGTTGAATTTATCATATTATACCGTAAAATTTTTTTTAAATTGAAAAAATTTTATATTTACTGACTGATAAATCTATACATATTAGCCATAATTTTCCTATTCTTTTTATCAAATGTGGCAAAAATCATTGCTTGAATTTTATGTTTGTGAAGCCAAAAGAGCCAAATTATGAAATGATTATAAAAGGTTAGTGAGGTCGCGCTGAATGTGTGTGCGTCATTATTTAAAACGCAACAAAGGATTTGTTTGCTTCTTTGACTATAAAGTTTCTCGTTATATATTTCTGCCATGACCATTCAGGAAATGAATAATGGATAGTAATTAAATTATTTTATGCGCATATTTTTTTTTAATAGGATGTTCTACTATTTGATTGCATAACGAATGGTTTGAATTCTTAATTCTACTGCCATGCCAACTGAAGATGATATTGAGTCGAGCGACCTTTATGTGAGGCTCTCATGCAGATAAAGTAGAAAGATTCATTCATTCATTCACTTTAAAAAAAGTAACATTTTAAAAAGAATATATATAATTAGTAGATGTAAAAAAATGTAGAAAATGGGGATTCCTTAACGATAACCTGATAAGTTAGAATCGAGGGAAGCATTAG